GTTGATCAGCTGGGTGTGTACATACGATCATTCAGCAGCACATGACAGAACACATTGTACCCAAACAGATCAACAGCTTAACATGCGTGGCATGCGCAGATCACCTTCATGAAAAGTCATGGCAATCATTGCAATTTGAGCAGAGACAGGTCCATTGTTTGAGCTTTAGCAATGGTTCCAGAGTCTGATGTTTCTGCCATGGCTGAAGCTGAGGCCTGGTTTACGATTCAGGCTGTGTTTTCGGGAAAACAGCACAAGCACAAAGTTGGAAAAGCTTCAGAAACAAGCTGCCCCCCTCTCTCTGAAAAGTTTCCGTAGACCACGGTGGCCGCATGGAGCTCTGAAGCTGCTGTCTTCGCATCTGCTGGGGCCCGGCCATGCATTGACCTTGTTTGAGAGGGCAAGGCAACCGTAACTGGAAAGATGAATAAGAACTGAACTTCTGAGTCTCTGAGTGCACCACCTGAAACCTCTCAACCCTAGTCTGAAAATGAAATGACTTCGTTTCGCCCTGTATCGGAAAACCTTTAGCAAGAGGCCGCTGTTGGGCCGACTCCAAACGGCCCGCCGCGAAAAAGCAAAAACCGTAAAGTTGTTTTTTGGCGGGTTGCGCGATCGCCGTTGCAGCTGGCCTGGGCTCCGTATGGGAAACCAGAAACTCAACACAGTGACAACACTCCCATGCCTGGCAGTCAGCGGCAGCATTGGTAGCACTGCATCAGGCTCGCCTTGCCCGACGAGGCGATGACAATGACAACGCACTCAGGGCCCCAGCCACGGCCAAGGCGTTCTGTAAGCGCAAGACTGTCACAAAGTCAAGCGCCGTTTGACAATGGTCTTTCCACGTGAAGTGCCTCCCACTCATGGTAATGAATCAAGCTGTGTGCCCGCAGTTGGTCGAATTTTGTCTTGCTGCAGGCTGGTGTGCAAATTTTGCGGGCGGCATGCCCTTGAGGCTTGGCGACACGCAACTGAATCAGTTGCAAACTCCTGCCAGCCGACTCTATGAATGAACCGCGTGACAAAAAGGGTCCGCTCATCGCAAGTGGAAATGATTTCTGGAATAATAAAAGATAGGATGCTAATAAGATGCACATTTGAAAAATTCTAAAACGTGTGAAATATTTTGAGAAGATTTTGAGATTACTGAGATAAATGTTCCTGAGCAGTCTTTGATAGTGACTGGCTCATGGTCTGATTGGCTTGGTGGCCGATCGATCATT